TAAATAAACACAGCCCAGCCACTGACATCCTCCCCTGGTATTTAGGGATACCGGTGTTTTTGACACAAAAGTAGGAACAAAGTGATTCAGCTGGGTGGAAGGAACAAGAAGGTGACACAAACAGCTCTGGAGAACTGTGTCTGTCCAACTGCTATTTGAGTCACATGGAAATAATTCCTAAAAATTTACTCCCACTTTTAAATAGACATAGATTAAGAATCAGTATTTATTAATTCAGAGACTTAAAAGACCATCAACAGGTAAAAAAGCAGACCAGTGGATTTTATTTGTCACTGAAACAGAAATCTTCATCTGTTCACTGAAGGGATGCACGGCACGAGAATCCAGCAGCATCCAGAGGGACCAAGGGACTGGAATTTGGAAGCAGCAAAAAGAAAATACTACAGAGCACGCCAGGAGCTGTTTCCTAGTCGGTCATTCCGGATGGGATATTCCTACGGAATGAACATGAGAAATGAGGGGTTTTAAGCAGCAAAGCTGAGCCCAGCTGGTGAGGAAGATCAGGGCACAGGGAGAGGAATGGCCCGGCACACGGAGAGACTTTGGGAATTGCAGAGGAAACAGAAAGTACACGGAGCACTTGTGCTGCGGAAAGGGAAACCGGGGGCCTCTGCAGATCCCATCAGCCCCAAGGCAGGGCTGGGAGACAAATGGAGCTCAGGCAGGGAGAGGGCAGAGCTGGGCTTCCCTCCTGACAGCCCCTGGGAGCGCCTGGGAATGCGCTCAGAGCTGCTGCCGGGAGCTGAGCAGCAAGGGCTGCAGTGCCAGGGGGAATTCTGGCCACAGCTCTGCCAGCAGGTGCCATCCCAGCGGGCAGCATCCCGCCTCCCTGCCAGGCAGAGCCCTGGAGGAGCTCCCAGGGCAAGGCAGTGCCCTGGATCCCACAGCACAACCCCAACCAGCCCCGCTTCAATTAGCACCGTAATTATCCCCCAGGGCAGGCACTGGAGGCCTTCCCCAGAAAGGCTGGCAGCACCTCCCTGCCCCGCCATCCCTGGGAATCCCTGCACCAGGACAATCCCCTTCATCCAACAGACTCCAAACCCCCCGGGCTGTTCACCTGCTGCAGTGCAGGAGTCTGAGTGTCCACCGAGGGCAGAAAGTTCTCCCTAAATTACTGCATCCCGGTTATTCCGCGTAAATCGCGCCGCAATTCGGGTTTCTCGCTCCGTTTTCTCGTTCAGTTTTTCTGAACAAACTCCAAACGCATTTTGCTTCCAGCCCCTTTGTTCCTGAGGATATATATCTACCTGCCCCCCCCAAAAAAAGTGTGGCTTTGCTGGCAGCCAGGAATTTTAATCGGCTGAAGAACACAGCCCAAACCCCCCAGATCTGGACAATAACATCTGCAACACTCATCCCACCTTCCCTAAAATACAGCACGGGATTTGGGAGAGAAAAATTCCTCCCGGAAACCGCCAACATTTGCTTTGGTAAATAAAAAGTTGGGATGCATAACAGGCTCAGTTGGCATTTGCAACTTACAGAGCACAAGTTAATCAGATTGAACACCAATGTAATGCAAAATACACAATGCTGGTTAATATCAGTCCTTTTCATGACTATGTATACATAACAGGAATAAACACACAGATCGTAGGTGTTGTTTGGGTTTGTTTTCTTTTGAAATAGACTCATGAACAGTTAAAATTCAGAATCCATGAAGCAGTTAAAATTCAGAATCAGAAAGAACTGGGGAAAAAAAAAAAAAGAAAAGAAGCATTTGGCCTCTTCATACTAATTTCCTTTTTCTTTACATTGCTCAACATCGCTCCTCAATTTGAGTTCTAATCAACATCCACTTCACAGCTCACATTTTATGAAATAATGCAGTTGATGCAATCAAGTCCAGCAAAATGTTTCCCTAAAGATGTTTCCATCATTCACATTCCTTAAAAAAAACCACACACACACACAGACACAAAAAAAAAAAGGCTCTGACTTCCTCCATCACTATTTAACAGCAAAAATAAACACACCACTGCATCTTAAATCATATTCTGATTAAAACAGAAATAGAATCTTTCTGGGGTTTCTTTCTGCTTAAGCACAACATGTCTTTGTCCAGGAGAGGGGGAAAAAAATCCCCTCAACCTGCTCATTTTTCCGCACTTGACAATAATGAGCACCAAATAAATAAAATCCAGCCCGTGGAGACACAAACCATAACCCCAAAGCCCATCACCATGTGCAGCGGGGGGCAAAAAATGCCCCCAGAACCCAAGCCGGTGCAGAACCTCCTTCTGCTAATGAATATTTATTTCATTTCCACACTTCCAGGCTGCCCTGCTTTCTCTAAAGGGCTGAAACCGAGCTCCTTTTTGGCATTATTCCCCCCACAATATAGCCACGGACTTCGCTGCCCGGAGCGCCACAATGCCAACAACACCGCATTAAAGAGACATTTTAAAAAGAGGGGAAAATATTTAAAATAGAAAATAAAAAGGGGGAGGGAGAGATAATCCACGTTTTTATAAAGAACCGGCCGGAGCAGGCGTTTTATCCAGGCAGGAAAATCCCCAGCACCGCCTCGCCTTCCCCGACCTGGCCGTCCCCGCTTTCATTCCTGTGGATGCTGCGCGCCGGCATCCCCCGGCTCCGCGCTGCCTTTAACCATTTCACCCCCGTTTCACCCCGTTTTTGCCCGCTTTCACCCCCGTTCGGAGGCGCTCCGAGCCCGGCGCAGGGCTGCGGGACGGGCCCGGCCCGGAGTTGCCGCGGGCCCCTCAGCGTGCCCGGCTGCGGGCCCGGGGGCTCGGGCATCCCAGCCCGCTCCGGGGAGGGGACACAGCCCCTCTCGGCTCGGGGGGACAGCGGGCTGCCCCGGGGATGGACGGGGACACCCTGCGGGCTCCGCCACAGCGGGGACAGAGCCCGCGGGGGGCACGCCGCAGCAGCAGCAGCCCCGGTGCCCCCGCCGCGGGGCTGGGGGTGCTGCCCCTCCGCCCCGCTCCGCCAGCCCTCTCCCGCCGCTGTCACCCGCGGCTGTGCCCCCTTTCCCCTTCCCCGCGCCTTACCTGCGGCTGCTCGGGCGGCGGCGGCCCCTGTGCCGGTGCGGCGGCTCTCGCTCTGCCTCTCCTCCTCCTCCTCCTCTTCCCGCTGCTCCCGCAGCCGCCAGCCGGGAATGGTGGGGGGGGTGTAGGGGGGGCAGTACCACCAGCGGGACCGTTACAGCGGCGGCCGCTGCGGGGACTACAGCTCCCGGCGTGCCCCGCGCTCCGCCGCCGCGGCTCGCCGCTGGCCGCCCCGCGCGAGGGGTCATGGGTGGTGTAGTCCGCGCGGCAGGCGGGGGAAGGACATAAGGCGACAGGGCCCGGACGGGCGCGGGGCGTGCTGGGAGGTGTAGTACGGCAGGGGTAGGGTCGCCCGGCATGGCGGGAGTTGTAGTCCAGCGGGGCATGACGGGAGCTGTAGTCCGCGCAGGCTGATGCGCGGCAGAAGGCCGCCACGGGAATCCCACCGGGATGTGCCAGGTGGGGCTCCACGGCCCCCCGCGAGCTGATCCCGGCTCCGGGAGACCCTTTCCGGGTGGCCTGGCGGGCGCAGGGCCGCGGGAGGGGAGCGGGGAGCCGCGGGGCCCGGCCTTGCGTGCCGCCCTCAGGGAGCGCTGCCGCTGCTCGCAGCCCCTCACGCTGCTGAGGGAAAGAAAGGAATGTTCCGGGAAGGGATGCAGGATCCGCGCCTGCACTGACGGAGAGGGGCACTCCCTCCACCCCGGATCCCGCACGACAGCGGTTCCGTGCGGTTGGCTGCTGGTTTTGCGGAGATGGGCGCGGAGCTGCGCTGGGAATCGGGAATGGGGCCGGGAACGCCGGGCTGGGGCGGCTGTGGGGGCATCGCGCACACGGGAACATCGCTGCTCGTGCCTTCCCCCGCAGGACCCGCTCGGCTGCAGGAGGAGGCGGCTCCGGGGGGATTCCGCCCGTGCGATCCTGGATTCCGCCCGTGTCCGCAGCTCCTGGAACCTGCGGAGACCCCCCGTGGAAGGCAGGCATTTCCCGAGAGGCGGCAAGGGTTTTGGAAAGTCCTGAAATCCTGGGAGATCCCCAGCAGGCACGAGCCACCGCAGGAGGAAAAACAAACCAGAGGCATCGGAGTTCGTGGATTTTATTAAACAACCCCCAGCTCCAATGGAAAACGGGGGGGAAATCCAGGATCTGGCTCTTCTGAGAGTGTATTCCCACACGGCATCCTCTCCGTTCGCTGGCTGGAAATCATTTCCTGCCTCTTTGGGTCACCATTTCCACCCAGCATGCCCCAAATTTATCCTATTTAACATTAAAAAAAAACCCCACCCTAGTTTACAAAAGAAATAATAGACCAAGCCCCCCAAATCCCACACCGGCACAGTTTCCTTCCCAAGAGGAAAAACACAATGGAAAAGTTTTGACACCAATTAATTCCATTTAATATCAGTATGGAGAGGCAGTCCAATCCAGTGGATAAATCAGGATAAATCCAGATTTCAGCCCAAACCCCTTCCTAAGGGAACTTTTTCCCGGACTCATGGCAGAACAAAGTTGATGGCTTAGCCGGATTTCCAAACAATTTCCCTGATTTTGGGAATATTCAGCAGCACCAGGATGTTTTGCAGCCCCACAGCCAGCACAGGGAATGCACAAGGCTGTGAATGTGGACTGGCCGAGGGGGTGATTCCCATTTTAACTCCTCTGGGATCAGAAGGATTAATTTAATTCCTTCTAAAAAAAAGGAATTAACGCCAGCGCTGGAGGGAGAGGAGGGGAAAGGGCTTCACGCTGGAAAACGTGCTGGAATAGAAAACATATATATTTTTATATACATATTTATTTATTTATTTATTTATTTCTATATTTATATATATCTATATATATAAAATGTGTGTGTGCATATATATATATATAAAAATAAAGTTGCCATGTACTCAAGAAAACATATATATTTATTTATATATATATATATTTATATCTATATATATAAAATATGTGTGTGCATATATAAATAAATAAATAAATAAATAGTGTTGCCATGTGCTCAATAAACATCCTTTATTAACAGCCCAGCCTCAGCTGTCACCTGGCTCGCGTCTTGACTCCCCAAATAATCCAACCTCACGCCCCAGAGCCCGGGACGGTTCCAATTCCAGCAGAAGCCAGGACAAGCCTTGATTTTCACCCAGAGGATTGCTCACTCCACTCGGGAATTCATTTCAGACGAGCACTTTGGTGCTTAAATCTTGAGTTTCCCCGGTTTATTTCGGCGCCGCGATCCCGCATGCCCCAGGCGTCGCTGCCCGTGCGGCGGGGCAGCAGGGCGTTTTCTGGGGGTGAATCCCGGGCAAGCGGCGTTTTCCCGGGATGCGGTGCCGGACTACAGCTCCCGGCGAGCCGCGCGGGCGGGCGGGCGGGCAGCAGCGGGAGCGGAGCGCGGCGCATCCCGCAGCGGCACCGCCGCCTCCGCCCGGCGAGGGACGCGCGGGGCGGCTGCGGGGCCGGGACACCCGGGGCGAGCCGCGAGAGTCGGGTACGGAGCGGGGAACGCCAGGGATGCGGGATGAGGGCAGCGGATGCGGGTGGGGTACCTGGGGATGGGGGCATCCATGGGCAGTGCCGGGTGATGGTAGCAGGGATGCAAACCCCGCGGGGTTCAGGCACTCGGTAACGCGGGCACAGAGGTGCTGGGGGCGTGTTTGTGCCTTGCCGTGCCCCCCAGAGCTGGTGGGAGATCCTGGAGGCCCTGCCAGGGTGCTGAGCTCCCATCACTGCGAGCTGGGATTCCCAGTGGGTATTGGGGATGTGGCCGGGGAGCTGCTCCTGCCTCTCCCTGGGGTGCTGGCTCTGCTCGGGGACCTGGGGAGCGATGACTTCATGGCCTTATTAAGGACTAATTCCCATCCAGGCAGGGAAAATAAACAAGTGTAGGTGTCGCTTAGCATGGAAAGTTACTGGGGCTGTGGGGAGGCACTGCCTGTTTTCTGTATTTACCTCCACGGGCCGATAATCCCTAAATCCCAACGAGATTAAAGGCAGGGGGAAAGGTGGCCCGAGCGCCTCCTTCGCCACCGGTCCCGGATGACGAAATCCCCTGATTAACCCGGGCGCTGAGCTCATCCCCCAGAAATACCAGGAGCAGCAAGGGTGAATCCCCATCCCGAGGCCGTGGGGAGCTGGGAGCCATGGGCAGAGGCGGGGGCGAGGCAGGAGCTGTGGTTTTAACCCCGTTATTTTCCCATCCCAGCAGATCCGGCCAAGCCGCGGCAGCCATGGCGCTGGTGAAGAGCGGTTGGCTTTGGCGCCAGAGTAAGTGCCAGACTCGAGCTTTCCACGTTGGGAGCCCCCCAAAAACACCTGGAGAGCGTTGCGGGGAAGAGGTGGGGTGTGAGGGACACGAGGAGCCCCGGCCTGGGTGGGTCATCCACGGCAGCAGGGAGATTGTGGCTCGTGGATTTACGTCAGCGGGGAGAGGGGCTGCCTGCCATGAAAGCACACACGGCTCCGTGTCCGGGGCTGGATCCGCTCCCGTGCCTCGGCAGGGCAGCACCCAACGGCCTGATGGCTTTTTTGGCAGCCTCTTCCCACTGACAGCCACCTGCCCCGCATGCTCATGCCAGGCACAGGTGTGCTGTGGGATGGAGGGATCACGCCAAGTTTGGGGGATGAGGCTGTGAGCGCGCTGGCCGCGTCCCACCGGGATCCTGCGCCTGCTCCCTGTCCCACCAGGCTCCATCCTGCGCCGCTGGAAGAGGAACTGGTTCGTGCTCTACCTGGATGGCAGCCTGGTTTACTACCACGACGAGACGCAGCGGGACATGGACGGCCGGATCCACATCAAGTACAGCTGCCGGGACGTGCGGATCGGCCGCGAGTGCAAAGGTGAGCCCAGCCCCTGCTCCCGAGCCCTGCATTCCCAGCCCCATCCCACGCGTGGCTGCACCCCTCTTGAACGAGGCTGCACCTGTGCACATCCTGCAGACCCCCAAAAGAACCCAATAATGACCCCAGGCTGCCCCGTTCGCCCCTCCTCGCTCCCAGCCGGGAGACGCCGGATGGTCTCTGCCATTGCTTTTCCTGGGGGAAGGAGGGAAGGAAGGAGCAAGGGAGGAAGGAGGAACTCTCCTCCTGGTGTGTGCTTGTAACAAACAGGATCCCACGGCCCTGACTCATCGCTCGCGTCTCGCACAAACAAGGGGAACAAAGCAGCAGCTTGGCGGGGCCCCGCAGCCCACGCCGCCGCACAAAGCGCCTTTCTCGGGCTGGGAGCGGCCGTGGGAGCACAATCCCACAGCTTTGTGCTCACCACGGGGTCCTGCCAAGCTGCACAACGGGGCAGACACACCAGCCTCGGGGATTTAAGGTTTTGCCCTTGCTGGAGCTCACGGTCCCACTCCAGCAATGAGCATCTCCCGCTCCTACAGAATTTGGGTGCGCTCCGGCGAGTTCAAAGCGAAGGCAGCTCGGCCTCGTGGCCCGGAGCAGGTTTTTGGCAGTTTGCTGCCCTTCCATGTTCCTTCTGCTGTGGGGGTGGAGGTTTCTGCCCATCAGCTCATTCCTTGTGCTGGCTTTTAACCTGAGAGAGAGCCCCACTGCATCCTCCACGTGGAGAGGGAGCCAAAACTGAACCCAGCAGCTCGTGTGGCAGGAGGAACGTGGGGCCTGGGGAGGGTGCGTGGGACATCTCCTGGGCTGGATCCCACCCCATCCCTTCCCCGGCAGACGTGCAGCCGCCCGAGGGCAGGAGCCGGGAATGCCTGCTGACCGTGGTGCTGCGGGACGGCTCCAAGACCACGCTGTGTGCCGAGAGCGAGGACGACGCCGTGTAAGCGACTTTGCCATCCCGGTTATCCCAGCCTGGGAAGGGCCCGGGCTGCAGGAGAGCCCTGTCCTGCTCCCACCACATCCCACCCTCGGCTAAACCAGCCCCCAGCCCCTGGTCTCAAACACACTTGCAGGGCCAAAGGTGCAGGAGGAGATTTGGGGCTCTCACTGAATAATCCAGAGCCAAAAGCAGCTGGTTTTGAGCAATCCATCTCCTGATGGGGGAGTTTCCTTATGGACAAGAAATCCTCTCTTGGCCTGACTGAGGAGAAGGGTTGTCATCATCATTTGGAAATAAAAAGTCTGTGAATGTGAAGCCCTCACTGGCTTGAGGCAAACTGCCCTTTTTAGCACTGTTCCACTTCTATTTATTTCTAAAAAAATTTATAAATTAAATTCTAAAATATATATTTTTATAAAAATTGGGTTTTTTAAAATAAGAATTTTAAAAATTGGCAGTGGCAAACGTTCAGCTGAACTTGGATGGAGGGAAACATGCTGTGGCCAAGCAGAACTTCATCAACTGAGCTTGACCTCAGCTGAATGGAAATTCATCCATTACGTGCTCTTTCCCCAAAATTTAGGTGTCGTTTTCCTGCCTGCCCTTGTTTTAGCCAGGGCCATTCCCAGGGACTGCCCTGTGCCCATCCCTGTGGTGTCAGGTACCTCCCAGCACATTCCCAATCCCAACTGTTGGCCCAGCACTCATTTAACGGGGAATTAAAGAATAGTGCCACATCCAGGTCCCCGTGGGGAGGAAGGGGACAATTCCCACCCCTCCAGCACCCACCAAAAGTGAGTCCCTCTGTTCTGTTTGCAGTGCTTGGAAGATGGCCGTGCTGGAGGCTAAATCCACCCCGGTGAGGCTTTGTCCCCTGAGCAGGGACACCGTCCTGGCACGGGATTTGGGATTCAGGATCTGGGCAGGGAGGGGTTACCCCAACCCTGAGCGTGGGGGGGCCCCCCGACAGCCACAGGGAAGAAGGTGGGGAGGGGTTGGATGCCACCACTGATGGCAGGTGACAGAGCCACAGGGACCCTGTGCACTGGTGGAGGGTGACAGGAGGACAGTTAAGGTGGCAGGGACACAGGGGTATGGGGACACAGGTAAGGACACTGTTAAGGTGACAGGGGCACCATTAAGGGGGCAGATAGGGTAGGATGCAGTTAAGGTGACAAGGACACACAGTTAAGGTGACAGGGACAGTCAGAGGCAGTAGGAGCAGAGCTGGGGTGACAGGAACACAACTGAGATGACAGAGACAAGGGTAAGGTGACAGGAACGATGTTAAGGTTATAGGGACACAGTTAAGGGGAATGGGGACACAGTTCAGGTGACAGGGGCACAGTTAAGGTGACAGGAACAGGTGAAGGGAGTGGGAGCAGAGTGAAGGTGGCAGGGACACCATTAAGGTGATGGGGACACTGTTAAGGTGTCAGGGACACTGTTAAGGTAATAGGGACACTGTCAAAGTGGCAGGGACACTGTTAAGGTTGCAGGGACACTTGAAGTGGCAGGGACACTGTTAAGGTTGCAGGGACACTTGAAGTGGCAGGGACACTGTTAAGATGTCAGGGACACTGTTAAGGTGTCAGGGACACTGTCGAAGTGGCAGGGACGCTGTTAAGGTGTCAGGGACACTGTTAAGGTAATAGGGACACTGTCAAAGTGGCAGGGACACTGTTAAGGTGGCAAGGACCCTGTTAAGGTAACAGGGACACTGTTAAGGTTGCAGGGACACTGTTAAGGCTGCTGGGACACTGTTAAGGTTGCAGGGACACTGCTGAAGTGGCAGGGACACTGTTAAGATGTCAGGGACACTGTTAAGATGTCAGGGACACTGTTAAGGTTGCAGGGACACTGCTGAAGTGGCAGGGACACTTAGGGTGGCAGGGACACTGTTACAGTGACAAGGAAGGGGCAGAGCCAGCGTGGCCTGAGCGCGGGCTGTCCCCAGCCCTTGGTCCCGCTGGGATTCCCCCCCAAGGGCCGTGTCCCCCCCCGGGGACCCTGACCCCGGCTCTGCAGGTGCACGTGTACGACCCCTACGACGATGACTACTACCAGACGGTGCCCCTGGACTCCCACCAGGCCGCCTACATCAGCTCCGGCCACTACGGCCCCCAGTACGCAGGTGGGTGGCCCGGTGGCCCCGGGGAGGGGTGGCCAGGGCCATCCCCCCGCTGACAGCCCGTTTTCCCCCCCGGCAGCTCCCGGGGTGACCCACGTCATCGTGCGCGAGGATCCCTACCGCGTCTCCGGGGACCAGATGGCGCTGGGGCTGCTGGCCGGGGCCGCCACCGGCGCCGCCCTGGGCTCCTTCATGTGGATGCCCTGCTGGTTTTAGCGGCCTCCAGGCCTCCCTCTGCTCCCCAGCCCTGCCTTGGAACCTGCCCTGAGCGCCCCTCAGCCTGCCCAGGACGCCCTGGGGACACGCGGCCTGCTCCCAGCCCCAGCTTGTGCACTAAGTAACCCCCACGTGCTTCAGAGCCCCCCAAATCCCGCTCCAGACCTCCACAGCACCCGATTCCCGTCGGCAGAGGGCCCGGGGAGCTGCCAGGGCTGTCGGCAGAGCTCCCCCATCCCAAACCTCCACAGGGAGCTGGCTGCAGAAATTCCGGGTTTGGAAGAAGGGGGACTTAGTTTGCCTGGATCTTTTTTGGCTGGGTGAACCCCACAATGCAGAGGGGTTTTTTTGGGAGAGGCTCCAGCACCAGAGGGCACCACAGGGATGTTTAAGAGGTGGCTAAAAGGTTAAGGAGGATGAAAACCTTTTCAGGATTTCCACCCCTTTCCAACATGCACCGGTCCCCTGGGCCTGGCCGAGTTGGGGAAACGGTGCAGAACCCTCAGGAATTGGAGTTAAACCCTTGGGAACGAGGCTGAGAAGAGCCCAGGGATCATCCCAACCTCTCCAGCCGAGTGGGAGGGACACACAGCATCCTCAGTTTCAGTGATTTTTGGGAGGGGGAGAAGGGCAGCTCTCCCTGGGGACCAGGGAACCTTTCTGGCAGCCAAGCCGGGATCTTTACAGCAGGAATTTGGGATTGAGGGGGGACACACGGTCAGGCCAGGGGACAAGGAGCAGCTCAGGGGTTTGGTTGGGCAATTGAGGAGGTGAGGAACTGCCAAGTGTCACTCCTAGAGCCTGGATGGTATCCTGGAACCACAAGTGGCATTGAATTCAGGAATTACAATCCCAGAGCTGGATAGAAAACCACCAGTGACACCAGCACCCCAGCCTGCTCCTGCCTTTAGAGCCCCGGGTCAGTTCATCCCTGTGCCCACCAGGGGATTGGGATATCCCAACACACCATCCTCATCCTCTCCTGCATTCCCTGCCTCCCTCCTGCTGCGCACCTGCTCCCAGAAAGGGGGAAAAAAAATACAAAAAACCTCTTTGAAGTCTAATAAAGGCAGTGAAAAACCAGCCCTGGCCTGCGGGTGAGTGAGGATGAGGAGGGAATGCTCAGTCTCAGCCACCTCTGGGGGGTGGGAGGGATTGTGTTCCCCTGGAGAGCTGCCCAGGGGTGTCACCAGCTCCCCTTTGCTTCCCTGCCTTTCCACCAGGAAGCTCTGGGGTCACAAAAGCTGCCCCCAAAACCCTGCTCCTGTGCACCATTTGTGCTGGCAGAGCAGCTCCTTCCTCTGCATCAGGGATTGATGGGATGCGGCACGGCCTCTCGGGAAGGGCCCAGCACAGGGTCAGGCACTGCCAGCCCCACTCGGGGCCTCGAGGTGGCTGAACACAGCTCCCAGCTCCCAAGGCAGGGATCCAGCCCCTCCGTGCCTCTGTCAATCCCAGCACAAAGCCCAGAGCGGAGAAGGGAAGGATCCAGCCCCACACACCCACTGCATCCTCATCCTTGTGCCCGTGACCCCACAGTGCTCACTCACCCCGTGGCACTGCCACTCCTGGGCCACTGCAGGGGATCCAGGAGAGCTGGAGAGGGACTGGGGACAGGGGATGGAGGGACAGGACACAGGGAATGGCTCCCACTGCCAGAGGGCAGGGATGGATGGGATAGTGGGAGGATTTTCTGGGCAACCTGTGCCAGTGCCTCACCACCCTCACAGGGAAGAATTTTACTCCAATATCTAATTTACCAATCCAATACCCATTTTATGGTTCACCTGCTGCATAATCCCAGGAGAGACACAAAGGGAGATGGAAAGATCTGGAAACTTGTTACCAATAGCAACATGACCTAGAAACTGTCTGTCCTTCCCAAGCCATGTCCAGCTGCTGACCTGCAAAAGCTCCTTTTCCCGAGCTCAGACACCCATGCTCCTCATCCCTGCAGTACCTGGATGTCCTGGAACTGTTCCTGCTTCTCTCCTGCCGTGCCGGCCTCCCCAAGATCCAGGGCTGTGGAGCAATCCAGGCAAGGACAGTGCTGGAGCGGCCTCCAGCAGCAATTTCCAGGGTCTTCACACTGCTGGTGGCAGGCAGGCCCTGCACTAGGGAGCTAAATGAAGGAGCAATTAAATAAAATACACATCATTTTGGAAGCACAAACAATAGAGCCACAGCCCACAAAAGCTCCTGGCTTGGTCTGCTGCACTCAGGAGGAGCTTCCCAGGAGCTCGTGGTGCTGGGTAGGAGCAGAGGGACAAGGAGTGCTGAGGGACAGGGATCAGGGCTGACCTGCTCCATTCCCAGCTGCCAGCCAGGCTCGCAGCACTCCTCTCCCAGCAGGGAGAGCTGCTGAAGCTCCAAAGCTCAGAACAACCCCAAAATCCCTCGGAAAAACGGGACCCGCAGCAAGGAGCCATTAGAGCCCATCATGCCCACAAACTGCCTGGAAAAGGAATCCCACAATATCCCATGGCACAGGAATCAGCTGGGGGCCACCTGACCCTCGCTGGGATCCAAACCCACTTCTCTGGAAATGAAGCAGCTCAGGAAATGTCAGGATCAAACATCCTATTTCTACACAGCCCTCCTTCCCAAGCTGGGATAAATGCAGAAAAGGTCAGTGCCAAACCACCAGTGCTGGGAGCATGGATAAATCCCATTTTCTCCCTGCCCTGTACCCAAGGAGCCACTGGCTGCGGGAGAGACACTTCAGCGCTTTAATTAGCAATAACTTTAATCAAGCCTTTAATAACATCCTCGCTCCAGACGTGCTCTCCGGGCGGCCGACAGCGAGCACTCAAAATGGCTCTAATTTATATCCAAACCCTCAGGAACAGGTGGCAAGCCTGGAAAATTCGATTTGGGAACAGCACCAGCAGGGCAGAGCTGTGGGGCAGCAGGAGCAGCATCACCCAGCTGCCTGCAGCCCTTCCCTACCCCTCATCCTCCCGGGAAGGGCAGAGCTGCCATTCCGCAGGGGTTAAATTCCTGAGATGCCCGAGCCCAGCCTTTCCAGCATCCATCTGGGCAGTCAGCTCCAGTCTGCTCCTACAAGAGGATCCTAAATATTTTATAAAAATCCGTGTTTGACTTCACCAGGTGCTCGGACCAGGGCGGGGAAGGGGAAAATGGTTAAAGGGGGGGGGGAAATAAAATCGGTATTTTTGCCAATCGATGAAAAATCCTTTAAATTGATGAAAAAACAATTCCAATGGTGAAAGCCCAAGCCCAGCAAGCCTGGAAAGGCAGAGGGAGAGCAGCAGAGGAGGAGGCAGCACAGATGGAGGGAGAGGCTGCTCCGAGGTCCGGCTGTTTGCAGCTGCCTCCCTGACTGCGGGAGAGCCGGCAGCCTGTGCCGCAGCCTGCCCGCCCCATTTATCTTCCTTCGGAGCTGGGACATGCCCGGCATGGAAAAAGGTGCTGCTGCAGCAGGTAGGGAGAGCCCTTGCGCTTCGGTTTGCCCAGGATTCGGGAGCTGGAAGCAGAACTGCAGCCAGGGGCCGGCCCGGCTGCCGCAGCAGCTCTGCAGATGCTGCCAGGGGGATGCTGTGGCTCCTCCAGCCTGGAAAAATCGGGGCTGATCCCACCAGCGAGCAAAAAGCCATCAGCACCCTGCAACCCGAGCCAGATATTCCCTCCTGGATTTTGGAGCTGGGCTGGGAGAGGGAGCTCGACCCACTGCAGCCACGAGTGAGTAGCCAGGAGCATCCTCTGGAGCTGGGGGAGCCCCCCACCCATTCCCTGCTCCAGAATCCCTGCAGCTCAATCCAGACTCCTTCCCCAGAGGGAAGCTGGGAACTGGGACACCAGTGGGAGGTGAGAGCCCCACGGCAGCAGCCAGGAGGGATTGAGGAGGTGAAGGTGGTGCTTGCAGAGGCTCCCACCCAGGGCAGCACCTGGAGAGGCTGGCTACAAGGAACAGAAGCTCCCCCAGTGACAAAAACCTTCTCCAGGAACTCGTCCCCCCACACAACTGTTCCCATGCCCCTAATTCCTGTTTCATGACCCATTTATTCACGGTCCTTTTCACAGTGAAGAGCCTGACCAAGAGACCGAGGCTTGGGCACACCCCAAATCCAGGTAATTCCCCTTCTCTACTTGGAGCAACCTGGGCTAGGGGAAGCTGTCCCTGTCCTTGCCAGGGGGTGGCATGGGTGGTGTTTAAGGTCCCCTCCAACCCAAGCATGCTGTGACTGCAGGATGCTCTCCTTCAGGACAGCAGAGGGTAACTCACCAAAGATCATCTGTTACTCACCTCCGCGGCCGCCGTCTCCAGCAAGGAGGAGGCTCCAGGAGGATCCTCCCCAGGGAAGCTGGGCTTGTTGACCCGTGTCCCAGGGAGCTGAGGCAGAGGTGAGGCCGCACGAGGTGCCCTTGGGAAGGGAGCAGAGGCAGCAGCTGGAGGCAAGGAGCGGGAAGGGAGCAGAGAGGCACAGCTCGGCCGGCAGAGCCGGGCTCCGTCCCCGGCACGGCTCCTGGGGCGCTGCAAACAATGGCAGAGACACCGCAGCGACAGCAAACACAGCCCTGAGACACCTCCCCGTGCCACAGAGCCCCCCAAACCCCTCCTGCCCCCACAAAAGGCTCCTGCAGCTCCTCAGCCCCCCGAGGAGCTGCTCCTCCCGCTGCCCGTGCTGAGAGAAGAGACCCAGAGCTTTCCAATGAGACAGGTATTTATTTAGTTCAAGCACTAAGGATTTGTTCTCTTGTTGTTGTTGGTTCATATTACCAAACAGAGCTGAGGTACCAGTGACATTCCAACATGAAGAAAAGGAACCTTTTTTTTTCCCCCTTACACAATTTCTTCAACTACTTTTATCAAGACAAAAGGTGAGGCATGGAACAGCTGCGTGATGGACTGTACAACGAGCAAGCCAGAGCAGGGAGGAGAAAAGAAACAGAGCCGAGACCTTCACTCAGAAAATGGCACAAAAATCAGCATTAAGAACATCTGTTCCCATGGCTCCACTGGCCACGCCCACGGAGTAAAAGAAAATGAAAATCTAAAACCTGACAGACGGATGGTGCAAAAAAAAAAAAACCAAAAACCAACCAACAAAACAAGTAAAACAAACAAAATTGATATGAAGACCACGTTGCTCCTGTGCTAAAAGAAAAACTAAAACCTGACAGAGGGATGGTGAAAAAAAAAAAAAAAAACAAAAACCAACCAACAAAACAAATAAAACAAACAAAATTGATATGAAGACCACGTTGCTCCTGTGCTCACCTTGGAAGTGTACTTTCTCTGGAGAGCTGGGACCAGGACAGGAGGGAGCCCTGTTAAGCACAGGCTACCAGCAAGGACATGCACTGAACGTACCTGGCCGTGCTCCTGCAGCCCCCTGGCCGTGCTGAACACGGAGCTGTGGGAATGCTGCTCTCCAGACCTCTGTTTCCAGCGAGTTCTGGACAAACCTGCTCTCAGGCCTTCCAGGAAAAGCGTCCAGGGCTGCTGGTCCATCACAGCCCATACGGGCTAAGCCAGCTCCTTAAATCCAGTGCTTAAAGCTTGGGACTGTGGGAAGCAGAGGGGGCTGGTTCTATCAGAAGCAAGGAAAAAAAAGGATGTGCTTGTGGGGAACAGCCAAATGAGGACCAACAGAAGCTGCACGGAGAACCAAAGGAGAAAAAAGCAAACCAAAGCAAATGAAGAAGCAGCAGGATGGAGCATTTCAGCACGGTTAAGAACAGTACAACAAAGGAAAAGCAGCCAGGTTTCCTTCCCCCAGAGAGTCTCTTTTAAATAAAGAATGATCCTTTGTCACATATCATTGATGTTTATTTCAAGACATGCCACGTCAAAAAAATTCGCCTTTAATATTGCATTAGAAAAGCACTTTTACATCTCGTTCTGCCTTTAAGTTATTGTTGTGCAGAGTTGCTAGAAACCCAGGGCAGGGCATGAGCCTGGCCTTCACCTCAGGAATGAAGAATTCCAACTCTTTTATGCCCGCCTCCTGGGGAAAGTGGTGGTGAGGACGATTCCCTTCCTCTCCCCCAGGTGGTTATTTTAGATGGTAGAGAGAGGGGCAGAAGAGAACCAAGGAGGAGCCTGAATATTCCCTTGCAATTGTCCATGTAATTCGCAATCGCAACACAGACTCGAGAATTCCTTCCTGCACTGTAACTCGGCCAGAGTCGCCCAGCAAACAATGTATTTACAATTGTGTTTATTAACTTACACAGCAACTTCACAATGACTAGTAAAGATTAAAAGGGTGCACTTCTAGTGTGTTTCATTCCGTGTTTCTCGGGTAGCTACATCTCGCAACATCAGCAAAGCTCTACACAGATTCCTCAGCCAAAGGAAAACAACAAAATCAGCACTGAGAAGAGTAAAAAAAAAAAAATTGAAGCCAAGAAATAAATATCAAAGAAAAACAAGGGTTAATTGTGAGCCTAATTCCATAGAAAACTAAATTACTAATTATTTAACCAAACTATACAGCTCTAGAGAACCAAACTAAACCAACTTGGAAGACTGAACATAATAAAATAAAAAAAAAAGAGCTAAAAAATAAAGGCATAAATCTGCATAATCAGAAGTTGGTTTCCATCCTACTCAAGTCCCTCCCCTTCCATCTAAGATGCCTCAACTAGGATTCTGTAGGATCAAAGTAAACACCCTTCCCCACCGACCTATGCCCACGCTCTGGAAAAGCGGGGCCATTCCCCCTCTGCTGGGGCAGCCAGCTGCTCTTCCCTCTTTCTCCCAAATTTCCAAGGTTTCAATCGGCTTTGGCAGGTTTTAGCGCCAGTCCTGATTTCAGTATTTCCCCTAAAAAAAGCAAAGAAGCAAAATGCTTTCTCTTCCAAACAGCTGAACTGTTAAGTTCCCATCTCTTGGGCAGTAATAATTCACTTCATTGGTGTTCTACTTAGAAAGGACAAAAAAAAAAGCTCTGAAAACTCATTTTGCACTCCAAACATTATTTCCCTGTTTCCTGCAAGTGTTTTGCTAATGCACATCCACCCTTTCCTTCCCCCCCAAATCCTCCAGAAGCCACTCATCCCAAAGAGCCCGTCCGTATTTCCCAGTAATGCTTCCTTGGAATCGTGTCCCCGCTGCCTCGGCGACAATTCCCAGCTCCAGCAGCCGGGGTGTCCCACCCCTGCTAAGGCCAGGCTGGCTCTGGACACCAGGCAGGCTCGCAATTAAGAGCTTGGGGTTAATTTGTGTTTAATTATCAAGGATAAGCCCTCAACCCCTCGGCATCTGCCGCCTCCCCCCGTGATTCCGCCTTGCTGTCTACGCATTCCCAGTTTCTGAGAGAAATTCCAATGGGTCAGATTTGCAAGCCTTCTTCTGCACATACATCTCGTCTAGGTCCAATTCCAAACTTACTCAGTTGCCATCATTTCAAAGTGCAATATCATAACATATTAAAAAAGGAACAAATATTAAGAAATTGTACCTATTTTTTTTTTGTTTGGATTTTCTCTTTTTTTTTTCGCTTTTGTTTTTTTTTAAAGTTATACCTAGAATACGGTGGAATATTTTGGCTTTTTTTTTTTCTTTTCTTATAAATAATGAAGACACTGACATTTTGTTGGTGTGTGTGTGTGTGTGGGGTGTGCTTGTGAAGCTAAAGATCATCTCCACGAGACAGCCAGCGATGATGAACTGCGATACGTTATTACGGAAAGGGGAAGGTTCAAGCCAATATTCACACTGCAGTCAATGAAGAGGACAGGGAGGGAAAGCAGTGATGTTCTGGAGAAAGGTGGAAGCCACATGGTATTAGCAGGAGCAGCCTCCTTCACTGACAGGCTGCTCTTGAGGCTTTTCCAGTTTTATGTCAATCACTGGAAGGAGGAAGTTAAGGCAAACAGATCTCCAACTCCGCTTCCCTACCAAGAGCGGGATTTTGAATGGTATTTTCAGTGCTTCCTGCTGAAATACCCGGAAAGATCAGCTCCAAACCAAAGGTTTGGCACATGAAATTTGCAGCAGAAACCATGTCAGACCCCAGTGTTTGCCTCTAATCAGTGTGCTCTTCCCGGCAATCCCACTGACCTCTTGCTGTGGGAATTCAAGATGCATGGACCCACTGAAAGGAATAATCACCGCTGCTGCAGAACCACAGAATCATTCAGGCTGGAAGAGCCCGCTGAGATCTTCAAGCCCACCTGCTCTCCCTGCACTGCCAAGGCCACCAGCATCTCGTGTCCCCAAGTGCCACATCCACATGGCTTTAAATCCCTCTGGGAATGGGGTCTCCACCACTTCCTGGGCACCCCCAGAGCTCCTCGCCAACCCTGGCTCAGTGGAACCTCTCTGCTCCCCCAGCAGCCAGCACAGCCCTGCCACCAGCCTGAGCTGCCCCTTGCAGTGACAGCTGATGTCCCACAAGGTCACTGCAGAGCTGGCTGCTCACAGCCTGCCTGTGATAAGGACTCCCTCTGCAGCAGCGCTCCGATTCCCAGCGGATGCCCTCCAGCTCCAGCCTCTCCCAGGAGGAGCTTTGAATGCTAATCCCCAGCTCAGAGCTGTTCACCACAAGTCTCCAGCGTCCCCCTTATCACAGAACACAGAGGCAAAGAGATCACACAGCTGGTACTTCCAACTCGTTTCTTTAGGGGGGGTGAAGCTGCTTTTTAAAGAGGTTTGGAGAAAATAAACGTGGAAATGGAAACAAAAGACAGGCAATTCATCTCCAATGCTTGGTCCACTCGGCTGACTTAAAGCTTGAAGTGTGTTTAAGTTGCAGATGCTTGACATGAGCCTTGCCAGCTTCATCTCAGAGCACGAATGGGTCAAGATCCTTGAACCCTCCATGTTTTGCAGAAGTGCCCCTGTTAATCCCAATGCAGCTGCCTGGGAGAGAGGATCCCATCCACCCCTGCTATCTGCAGGCTGCAGGAAGCCCAGATCCCAGTGTCCTAAATGCACTCCCATTTAGAGATTGCTGACCAAACTCCCTGCCTGTGCACTCTACCCCCCCTCATTAATAAAGATTGTTGCTCATTAACCTTTTGGGGAGCTGCATTGTAAAGTATTTCTGATCACTCAAATTCCTGCCACGAAGCCTGTGCCTCAGCAGCTGCAATCCCCAGCCTTCTAAACCCTTATTTTGCCCATGCATCAGATGCTCTGATGGCATTTCAGTGCCAGGCTTGTCCCACTCCCACAGCTCCTGGGACCTCCTTCCTCCAAGGCACAATTTCTCCTCTATTTACCAGCTCCATGATCCCTGCTGCAAATAAAACCAACAATCCTGGAAAAGCTGCTATTACAAGCACACCCACCTGGCCAGGTCAGTGATTCCGACATAGCCATACTGCTTTTCAAGGCTTTTCCACCCCTCCTGCCACCTGCTTTCCTTGACTGAGACTGACCCCATCAGTTGAGTCTTCCCCCTCCCACCACAGAGATGCTGCCTGGGGTCCCAGGCTGCCCTGGGAGGTTATGGGATCTCCGTCCTTGGAGATTTCCCATGTTTCCCTGAATGTGACCTGGAGAAACTGGCTCCGTTTGGGAGCCAGCCTTGCTTTGAGCAAGAGGATCAGAGAAGGGGCTTCAGAGGTCCCTTCCAGGACAGTTTGGTTTTGGATTCTGTCAGTCAGAGCTGCAAGAACCACAGGGGTTTTTGTTCAGACCTCTTTGCAGCCGTTTTCTCCCACCTTCCACACGTTTAAACACCAACCAAAGAATCCTTTTGGACCACCATTCCTTCCCCTGCTGCCTCCACCCTCAGCACCCCTGCTCGCAGCCTTCCAGCCCAGCAATCCTCCTTCCTCAGCTCGAAGGTTACTTGCCCCTGTTCCCCCATTTTTTGGGATGTCCAGGAGCTGAGCGAGGGCTGCAGTGGATTTTCCTGGTGCAGGGTAACGCCTGGCACAGGCACAGAAAGGATACTGTCTTCTCTACTTTTGTCTTGTGTGCTTTCCATCCCGGGCAAGGCAGCTGCCACACGTCGGAAAAGCTGCAAAGAACCACACAGGGAAGAGATGAAAACAACAGCTCCCCTCGGCTGAGGCAGTTCAAACAATGATTCAACACATCCCCCAGCACTATTTACACTGCTCAGCCCCAAAATCCTGACACCAAACATAACCTTTATTCCTAGAAAAGGGCAAAGCACAGCTCTTGTTAGTGGAGATCAGAGAGCTGCAGCAAACCTCCTGCACCTTCTCTGCAAACAGGATGGGTGGGATGCAGCATTTCACCCCACAGCTGCCACGGATGTCCACAGACCCCAACAACCTCCCCAGGGCAGGTGGGAATTAAGTTTTCACACCTCCCCAGAGGATTTCAGAGGAGCATGGACATGCTGATGAAGGCATACACATCATCCAGGAGCCTGTCACTGCATCAGCCACATGGAAGAGTGTCAAAAAATGGGATGCATGGAAAGGATTTCTGCCAAGCCTCACCTATCTGTGCTCAGGCTCCTATGGAACAGACAAAGGAACGCTGCCAAACCTAATCCTCACCATTTGGTGCCCACTCCATGGTTTTCCTATGCCCACATTCAGGGCATATAGCACAGAACAAAGGCATCCAAAGCCTCTCACCTGAACACCACCTCCAGTTTCCCAGCAAGGTCTGAGTTCCCAACTCTCCTCATGGTTTTATTCCACTTGAAGGAGGCGAGTTGGAACGGGACCGATTCCCTCTCCTGCACTTCCTACCTCTGCCCCTGAGGTTCAGACTGGTAATTCCCACCACACAGCTTCTCCTGGGCCCTCTGGCTGAGTAGCCCATCGATAATGCAGGAGAAGTGCCCTGAATCCAGCTGCCTGTCCCCCTGCCCAGGATGCTCTCCCTCCACCCCGTGTTCCCAGCGCATCCCCGGCGCCGCGCGGGAGTCCCGGATCCCGCGGGTCTGACGTCAGCCTGGCGTGCTCCACACTGTCCTGCCTCTCCTCAAATGACACAGAGCTAAAGCACTTATTCCCAGTGACCCACTTTCCACAGACAACCCAGCCAAGGCACTGCCAGCCTGTTTACATCAGGGATGTGGGTACCCGACCAGCCCCGTGGGTCCCTGCCCAAGGGCTTTCCCCACCTGGGCTCCCACAGTCTCAAAGATGCTCCCACCATCCTAAGACAACTTTGCTGCCTTTACAGCCCCTTCCAAGCTCACCACGATCAAGCCCCCAGGTCTGTCTGGGATCTTTCTTGGCAGGAATCTGGCACACACTGGAATCTGAGCCAAGGATGGGTCTGAGAAGTGAGGACTCGATGTAACTCCCTAATTTCAGCCAACAATTCCAAAGTAAAAAAGCTTAGTATGCCTCCCTCTGTGTTTCTGTGGACCTTTGCCATTAACCTGGACCTTCCAGCCTCCCTGAAAACCTCAGGGAAATCCTCACAGGCCAACCAGGAAGTAACAAAATTCCAGATGTTAAACTCTACCTAAACCAACAGCAAGAATGCCCAGACAGAGGAAGGGTAAGGAGTCTTCAAAAAATCCTCAGCTGATGGAACCAACTGGAATTCCTGCATTTAAACCACACTGCTGACAGAAAGGCTATTTAAAATACAGTAATCCTTTCTTTACATTAAGACCAGGAATAAAATTATGCTTTTAGCAGTATTTCTCCCCTAAATTATCGAACTAAAAATAGGAATTTGGCAACTAAGAAAAATCAACTTTATTTCTTATTAACCTTCTGCTTATCAGCCCCAGCATATGTGAATAAATCCAATTAGGGAAACTTCCTGATGGTTGGAAAGCAGCCTTCCCACAGGGCCCTCTGAGCTTCCTGGTGCTGTCAGCCAGTGTGTGTCTGCACACACATGTACATGTTTCAATGTTTGTGTGGGTACAAAAACACAAGTATTGATGAGCATCCAGGACTTTCTTTCCAAGGCAGGAGTTAAAGGCAGCAGCTGAAAGACTAAAAGCCACACAAACTCTCTTTCAGCACTCAACTCTGCAATCTGCTTCCTGATAGAAACTCTGGAAAGAAGCCTCATCTCTCACCATCAGTTGCAAGTCATTTGCCAAACTGTGCCTTTCCTGCTACTCCAGCCAATAAATCCCAACAGATCAGGATCACAAAGGACTGCAGGCATAAACCAGTCTTCAGCCACACTCCAGCAGCAATATGGAAAGGACGGGAGGATCACTGTCCAGATAGAAAAGCTGGGCAAGAAACATGTTCCCCCACACAGGGCAAACAAAAATCTCTCCCTAATTCTCATTCTCTGAGGGTAATTCTTGCCCATCAGATGGGTAAGAATCAGAAGAGAGGAGAAAGAGCCCAGCTCTGTGAGAGCAGGGTCACAGAGGGGCTGTGCTCAGAGAGCTGCTGCCGTGAGAAAGTTCTTCTGCCAAGGACCACATTCATCCCTGGCTCCTCCAGGCCAGCGTGGAGTGTGCCAGGTACTGCTGCAGGGAGCAATTCAAGGGCCCTCCCTCCCCTCTCTTTCTACAAGACAGCAGAATGAACCCTGACACATTCTGGGCATGAAATCCAGGCACTAACAATAAGATTCCCTGAAATACGGAGCGCCGAGACAGAGCAGGAATCGCAAAGTCCTTGAAAGCTTATTCAAGGCTGACAGAATGAATCAGAGACTACAGTTCTCTGCATCAAAAGGAGCAAGTTATCTACTTCTCTCCTCCAGCTTAAGGCTCCCTGGCAATCAGTCTTTGCAGGATGCAAAAGCCAGTCTTTTCCCCTCTGCTCCATCATTTAACCCCACAAAAACACTACCAATGCTTTTATTCCCTAATATCCACCCATTTTTCCTTCAACACTCCCTGCCCAAAGCCAGAGGAGGAACAGTAAGTGTGAAGGACCTCGGGGACTGCAGCCAGCAGTGAGGTGCCATCCTCAGAGCTCTCCCCTTTCCTGGCACAGGGAATGGCAGGAAAAGCCTGGCAGCAGCACGGTGCCCTCTGCCTCTCTGCTGGTAGAAGATCCTGGCACTGGAATAGCTGCTGTTGGATGTACAGAGCATCTCACCTGCTGGGGTCCCAGCACAAAGCCAGGCCCTCTGGATCTGCAGCACAGCTGCAGGGAGCTGGAGGCAGTGCCCTTCCCTCTCATCTCTTCCAGCAGAAAAGGATGAAGCAGAAGCTAAAAGCAGCACCAGAGGACAAAAGCCCCCTGGATTCCCACTGAGGAGGAGCAGCTGGAAGAGTCAGAGCCATTCCCTCCCCGAGCAGGACAAGAAATTCAGCTGTTTCTGGATGGAAATCCTGTATGAAGATTAACTGAGACAGTGATTGTTCTGCAGGATCAGAATATATTGTGGAGGGAAGTTATCGGTTATGGGAAGGTCAAATTTGCATTCAGCTTATTAAGGATTTCACACAGGTTATGGCAAGGGGATCCATTCTGCAGGTGTGCTTTCCCATTTCACTGGGAGAGAATTTATTGCTAAGTTATAAAATAAATTCACACCATTTAGCAGAGAAGCTGCAAGGAAACAGGCAACTATTTAAGTGGTGGTATTAAAGGTCTTATCCTTTGATAATTGCTTGAACAACTGCTTATTAAACGAATAAAAAATGAGACTTAAAAATATTCTAGAATAGAGAACAGCTTTGAAATTCTTGAGAATCCCAGTCCACACCTGCAACACATGGATCAACACTTGTAAGAAAAATCCATTTTTAATTATTTTTGAATATCCATTCATGTATGTGCACACTATCGAATCCTCAGGGTTCCAGCTGGCCCTGAAAGCTACAACTCCCTCACAGGCTTAGCTCCAGAGCCTCTGGAAATGTGGCAGGGCACAGAAACTCCCTGAAGGAAAGAGGGAGTGTAGAGCTCCTTCATCATCATCATCATCATCACTCCTCTCAGTGAGGCAACTGCTCTCAGTGCACACCCCCAGGTCTAAGCACTCATTAAGGATTGCAGCACAGAATCCAAACCTTAATTGCCAGGCAGCCTCTGTTGTGGCAGGATAATTGGGGGACCCTGGAAGCCAACACATCCATGGTGGGTGATGCAGTGACACAGCTCTGAGTTAACACTGCTATAATTATCCCATTACAGAGGGAATCATTTTCCTGCTTAGAGGCAAAGTCAAGGGACATTTTAATAACAGACTCTTTAGTCCTGTCTAGAACATGAAGTAGTTTATAATCCTATTTTACTACTCCTGGTACCCTTCTGCACAAAAACCATTTGTGTAACTACATATATAAGATATACATGAATGTCATCCACACACACAGAATCCCTGATGGTTTGGGTGGGACTTTAAAGATCACCCAGTGCCACCCCTGCCGTGGCAGGGACACCTTCCACTGTCCCAGGTGGCTCCAAGCCCAATCCAGCCTGGCCTTGGGCACTGCCAGGGATCCAGGGGCAGCCCCACTGCTCTGGGCACCCTGTGCCAGGGCCTGCCCACCCTCACAGCCAGGAATTCCTTCCCAATATCTACCCTAAACCTATTCTGTCAATTTGAAGCCATTCCCTGGCTCCTGTCCCTCCATCCCCTGTCCCCAGTCCCTCTCCAGCTCTCCTGGAGCCCCTTCAGGCCCTGCAGGGGCTCTGAGCTCTCCCTGGAGCCTTCTCCTCTCCAGTGAGCACCCCCAGCTCTCCCAGCCTGGCTCCAGCCCTGGAGCAGCTCTTCTGGGCTCTTTCCAGCAGCTCCACATCCTTCTATTCCTGGGGAACAAGGAGCTGAGCACAGCATTCCACACAGGTGTGTTTGGCCTGTGGAATCACCCATGAATTTCTGTCCTCTCCAGGTCTGAATTTAAAGAGCCACAACTCAGAACAAAACCCCTCATTTTTCTGCAGCCCCATCAGTTCAAAAGACCTTTCACTGCTTTCCCCAATTCACAAGCAACTCATCATCTTCTCGAAATAAATAGCTCTGCCTGTCCAGGAACATTTGCTGGCACTTCCAGTGCCTTCCAGCAGAGTGGGAACAGCAGTTGCTCTGTCTCCCTGTGCACTGGAAGCATTTTAAGCCATCATGCTCCTCCTTCACTGGTTTGTTTCATTCACTGAAACAGAATCACAAACAGTCCTCAGACCTGTGCTTCCCCAGCTTTGTGTCTCTCAATCCAAACAGCAAATCTGGATTAGCAAAACCCCAGGAAGGTGTGATCCCATTCACACACAGCTTCTTCCATAACTCCTGTTATTTAAGGGGAAGCAAATCCCAAATCATGTGATGCATGCCAGAGATCCCTCAGAACCTCAGCCAACAATTCAGCTCTGAGGTGTTGCTTGCTGAGTGTGGACTACAATTCCCACTGGCCCCCTCTGCCAAGGCTTCCCAAGATCCAGGGAAGTGCTCCTCCCACAAGGAGGGTGAGTTACCAGCAGCCACTCACCTGTTTTACATTGTATCCTGCTTTTGCACTAGTTTCAATGAACATTACATTCAACTCTTTGGCTTTCCTTTCTCCTTCCTCAATGGACACTTGTCTGGGGAAGAAAACACAGTTAGGGGGGAAAAAAAACCTCATAGAACCCAAACCTGGACAAATACCTTAATAATTAAGATGAATTACACTTAAAAAAAAAAAAGCCTTTAAGTGCTTTATCTGAAAGCAAGTAAAAGTTTGTTGTTTTTTTTTCCTGCATGGAATGTACAGGTATCACCACTTCATTTTCCATGGCACACCCAAGCAGAACTCAGCATTCCAGCAGAACAGCCAAGTGTTCACCCCCAAATCCCTGCCCAGGGAGCTGTGCTTTTATGTCTGAGCAATTAGAATCACAGTCCCAAAATAATCATTAGAACCAAACGATTTTAACAAAGGTCCAAGTGTAACCACCTCATATGGGAGGAATTTTGTCCAATTTTTCTCTGGATATGTGTTCCACTCATTAAGCAGAACATTATTAAACAAATATTTGTAACCAGTTTATTAATTCACTGGTGTGGGCTGTGGTCAACAATCCCTTCTCTCCTGATATCTGTACTGGTGATGGTTTTTCAGCTCATTCACAGCACTGTGATGGAAATTTGGCTTAGCCAAAAGAAAGAGGGTTTAAAATTGAGATTTCTCTAGTCACAGCCATCTCCAGAAAAAAAAGCCCAAAACATTGCAATATACTCCTTAAAATAAGAGCAGCAGAGTAAGGAAAGCAGGATTTGAAAGCTGGATGACTGCCCCATACCTCTTGTCTGCTAGATCTGTTTTATTTCCCACCAGCATGATGATGACATCGCTGCCCCGTTCCGTCCTGACGTCATCGATCCACTTTGTGGTTTGCTGGAAGGAGTTTACATCTAGCAGAGAACAGTGGAGAGGGTTATCACTGCAGCTGTCCCCCTCAGCTCACCAGGAAACACGTCTGCACTCGGAGAGAAGAGCTCCATTTTCCGTGGAGTCGGCGGAGGAGGGTGATGAAGAATCAGCAAGTGGAACCCTGAGTCTCCCCCACTAAAGGACACGAAGCTCTGGCATTGATTTCACGTGGGCAAGTGCCTCATTACAGGTGGGTTCAAAGCCCCAGAGGGAACTGAGCCCATCTGTAATTTGGTTTTGACAGCACCTAAAATGAAAAGGCTCATCACTGTGTTTTGGCTCCTTATTTTTTAGTTCAACATGAAGTATTTTCTGTCGGGAGCGGGGATTAGTTTTTGCACTCTATGCTGATCATGGCTCATGCACCTACAGAGGTTCCTACAGCTCCCCTGCTTCTCAAAAATCCTCAACCCCAGCCTTGCATTTTGTACACTAGAATCAATCACTTTTTATTTTCTCTAGGGAATCCCAGGGTTATACAACACAGCAGCAACTCCCGTGGCACTGAGCACTTGCCTACAAAACAATTTCTAAATCTTTGCATAAAACCAGAAGCAGAAATTTAACCTCTTCACAGGCACTTCATGCTACACCCTTAAAAGCTGCAAGGTAAGAATTCCAGGCTCTCTGGTGCTTGAGAAGTTGCATCCCACAGGGAACGAGGAGTTGGAGGGAAGCTGCCACAGAGCTCAGCATTTGCCAGTTAGTGACACAAAGAGCATCTGAGCAGCCAAAGTAGCTTCAGTACTTAAGAAGGGGGGGGGGGCCTCTGCAGCAGTTCTTGAAAAGTATTGATTTTTTTTAATGGCTTCTACTGCAAAGTAATATATTGCATGCTAGACAGCCAAGACTTGATCACTTGCCAGTGTCTTAATTCCCTTTACTGCTTGGCAATATTGAATTTGCTGGGTCAGGAAAAAATTCAGAGTTCACAGCTAACCTGTAATTTTAGCTCAAAGGAAAGTGCCATTTTTAACAATTAGAGCTTTTCTAGGTAAAGCCCCTATTCCTGGCTGCAATCTTCTAGTATTTATAAATCAAAGGACAAGAACTTATGCATTTGTGCAGAATTAGGCCATTGTTCTCAGTCAATTCTGGTTTAGAACTGAAACTGTCTGAAGGTTTAGCTCCCCTAAAACAGAATTTCTGCTCTTTGTCAGTGCAGGAACTGGTAAGTTAAGGGGTGTCTGGACTGAGGGGAGGGACAGAAGGAGCAGGGCTAAAGAAGCACTAATATTTTAGTTGACAAAAATGTACATACCTTAGTAAGGAATGAAAGAGCAATTGTTAAAGGGTAAGAGCTTAGTGGTAAGTTTTACATCTTGCAGCACGTGAGAGTGGCTGATTCCAAGGAAAATGTGATGTTAATGCCTTCTCCCCGCCAGCCCGTGCCCAGAGTTCGTTTGGTGGGGGAGGGTGAATGAAGTGGAGCAAGCCACCAAAGTCTCCAGCCTGAGAACTCAGATACCCATGGACACGAAGACCAAAAGCCACAGGTGATGTTATGACCCAAAGGCAGATGGAAGAGTGCAACGAGAGCAGGCAGAACTGAAGAAAATGGGGCAGGGAAGGGTTAAAATGGCCTTTGTGAGACAGTTGATACATTACAACAGCAGCAACCACGGGGCTTGTGTAAAACAAGCACAGAAACCACGTTTTTGTCATGCCAGGATGAAGCCCAAGCAGATGACGTGAGAGGACATGCAAAGCTAAGCTAGAGGATGAAAAGGGCAGAGTATTAGAAATGCAGAATTCCCCCCACTCACTTGTGATATCATAAACAACAACTGCAACAGTGGAGTCACGAATGTAGCTAGGAATCAAGCTCCTGAACCGCTCTTGACCTGCTGTGTCCCATAATTGCAACCGTACCTAACAAAATCAGTCAAACAAGCAAGAAAAATAAGAAAAAAGGTCAAAGCCAGTGCAAAATACCTACTTGTGATATCGTAAACTACTACAGCAGCAGCAGAGTCACGGATGTAACTGGGAATGAGGCTACGGAAACGTTCCTGACCCGCAGTATCCCACAGCTGCAACCTGATCTGTGGGTGGGAGAAAATTAAAAAAGCCAAACTGCCACTAAAAATAAAAGAGTAAAGAAATGTTTCACTTTTTTTTCTTTTTCCAAAAAAGGAGAAACTCATGCAGGAGGTGCCTGGGGACTGGGAGCAGCAGGACACTGCCTCCCTACAGCAATCTCTCCCAAGGGGTAACAGCAGACAAACTGGAGGGGTGCAGCTTCCCAAAAAATGCTTCCCTTCCAAAAGGGGGGGAGTGGAATGGCTCAGCCTCCAAACTGAGAGCACCAAGAAGAAAGCTATGGCTGAAGTGATGGAATCACCATCCCAGAAGTGTGTGGATGTGGCACTTGGGGACCTGGGTTAGTGGTGGCCTTGGCAGTGCTGGGGGATGCCTGGGTTTGATCTTGCTTTTCCAGCCTCAGTGATTCTGTGGAATGTTCACCTGCACTTCTCCCTACAGGAGAAATTCATGCTCTGCTCTCCTTCCTCAGCACTCACACAGGCAACCTCCAGCAGCATGAAGGATGGTTGCTGGTGGAAAACCTACTCAGGTCAGTTTTTTAAGGATAAAATGCTTGTTGCAACTCTAAACTGCAAAGTCAGACACGCAGAGAGGCTGAATGGCTCTTACCAGCAAGGTTCTGGAAGAAAAGGCAAGGCACACTAAAAGCAGGGTGTATGGCAAGGTGTGCAAGAGCCAGTTGGGCCATGGAAAGCACACCTCATCCCTGAAGCCCTTCCCATCCAATCCCATTCACTGGGGGTTTACCCAATCCCATTTACTGGGAGTTTATCCGGTACCACAAGCTTCTGCAGCACTGCAGTTTTGTTTCTGCAAATAGCTCAACTGAGGCTGAATTTCTTAATTAAGAATCTGAGCTCATTTTAAACCACAGCTTTGCTTGCACAGAGGAATGATTTCACTTGATGAGCTAAAAGTGCACCAAGCAAGGAAACGAGTCTCATTTGTGAACCCATCAGAGGCCACCTTCTTTTTAAACAAGGAGTATCAAGAAGATGGAGCCAGCTATTAACTGGCCACGTCTGGCAATCTGTATTTTACCTTTCTGTCTTGTGGCATCAAAAGCTGAAGGGGTTAAGCATGGTTCCCCTTTCTCCAGACTCCCACCATCATTCACCCCTCAAATTATCTGTACCATCTCTTTCTCCACAGAGGATGACACTGAAATTTCCCATTCCCACTGCTGTGTCTCCACAGCACTTGTCAGCCTGGAAGCAGCTGGGAGATGAAGGCTCAGCCTGTGCTTCCCAGTGATCTCAGAAGTGTGGGCTGCACAAAGCCAGATGCTGGTCCTCATTCCTACTGTTCACAGAGAAAAGCAGCAAAATCTTACTCACTGTTCGATCCTCCAAGTACATGGTTTTCGATAAGAAGTCAATGCCAATTGTTGCCTGTAAAGAGATGAGAAAACCAAGAGCTCTTAAAAAAAAAAAAGGCAGAACACCTGCAGTGATCTTCAGGGGAGCAGCAGAAGCTGCAAGAAAAACAGGTTAGGTTTCTTATTTTTAAGATATAGCTTGACTCAATAAGCAATTTGTTTAATATATCCACGACCAGACCAATTCCTTAAAGCACAAAAGGTTTTAAGCTTGACTTCAGTTCATGCACACTGACAGTTTAATCCACACATTTATTTGGGTAGCAGCAGGGATTTTTATGCATGTGACAAATTGGTGTCCCCCAGCTCAACCAGGATATGTGGGCACAATGTCTTCTTCCCACGTGCCAAATTTCTCCAGGGATCTTCACTCTTCCAGGCAGATCAAGGCAGACACCCTAACTAAAGCCTGGCTCATCCTAAAGCAGCAGAGCTGCACCCGAACTTCCCAACACCAGTGGGAGCTTCCAGGAGAGCATCTTAATGGCAGTGGGAGCCATTCCCTGTGTCCTGTCCCTCCATGCCCTGCCCCCAGTCCCTATCCAGCTCTCCTGGATCCCCTTCAGGCCCTGCAGGGGCTCTGAGCTCTCCCTGGAGCCTTCTCCTCTCCCAGCCTGTCCTACCACAACAGGGAAGCAGCATTATCAAGGAGAGGATTCCAGCATGCTCAATATACCAGACATTTACTAATGTAAATTACTGATGAAATTTACTGATGTCACATATCATCTTCCATGATATGTGACATGTGGGGCCACAGCACAAAGGAAATCATTCCCAGCATGTCCGTGGAGAGGAATGACTCCTGGTGAAATAAACACCTTCAATCACAGCGTTTTATTCCAGGTGTTCCTCTGACACAGCACAGCGAGTTCTCACTGATGAGCCAGAGGGACACAGCTGAATTCCTCTCATCCAGCAGCGAGCAGAAGGAATCCAATGCACAGCACGGATTTTACTAAATGGCAGCTTTCTATTTTTAACAGCTGAACATAAAAACCCCGTGTTCAAATGATAGGTTTCAGAAAAACAGGCATTCAAAATCTGCCAGAAATGTCCAGAACAAGCAGATCATCCCTGAACTCACCTCCTGCTCCAGTTACCCATGATCAGGTGCATTAATACTGGGGTCTCAGGGGCCTCTAGAGACACCTGGGCATCCAAAAATGTCTGGTTTGGGTTGACACCAACAGGCAGTGTGATTTTGGCCAAACTCCTGGAGCTTTCTGACTGATTCCTTCTTCCAGCTACAGCACCCACTAGGAGGTATGGCCCCACCTCAGGCACAGCTCCAGGAAAATCAGGGGGTTTGGATGAATGCTCTGACCCAAGGCCATTAACACCCAAACTGGGCAGGCAGCACTGATGCCTAAATCCAAGCTGTCTTGGGAGCCCTTGGGATTTCTCACTGCTCTAAGTGCCACTCACTGATTTTGCAATCATTTAACGAATTACATCAGACCACCTTTCCATGGGGACACCCCTAAGGCACACAGGGTGAAACCTCCTCAAGGAAGAACTGGGACACAAACTCAGTAAGGAAAAGGAGCACTCCTAAAAGAAAAATACTGAGGGTGGGGGGAAAAAATCCCAGCTTAAATAGAAAGAACTGCCTTCAATGTCCATGTAATTACAGTGGGAGGAAGCAATGATGTGTGCTCCAGCCCTCCCTCCCTCCCACACTATGGAAACGTGGCTCTTCCCACAGCTCAGGGAGAACTTCCCATCTCCTTTTTCCTAGCAGCAGCAAGGAGGAATTACTGAAGGAGGCAGGAGGGAAATCTCTCAGTTCAATGAGATCCTTGGCTAGACACTGATCTGAGGGAAAATCACGTTTTCCTTTTTTTTTTTTTTTTTTTTTTTTTTCTGTTACCTCCTCCTCCCAGCCCCCTAAGAGATCCTTGGCTAGACACTGAGGAACAGGAAAATCACGTTTTCCTTTTATTTTTTTCTGTACCTCCTCCTCCCAGCCCCCTATAAAAACCTTCCCAGGCACCAGGGAACAGATTTTTCTCAGTTTTGTGTATCCAGAACATCACCAACTGCAACCATGTCATGAAACATGTTCTGCTTGAAGAAGACATTCAGGAAACTGAAGTACTTTTACATCTCACCACATTTTGAGCTGATGCTAAAATCTGGGAGTAGGCAACACTGACTGCTCTCCTGGACTGTGCTAATTTCTAAACATCTTAATTTTTCCTCCTTTTTTTCACATTTTGTATTATTTTCTAGCTTGTGTCAACTTGTTATTTAAAAGAGCTGGGTACTTGTTATGTTATCCAAACACAGGGATTAGATTTGGGATGGTCTGATAGAAAATGGTGGGAAAAAACAAACAACCCTGGCAGACTTAACAACTGCTGTTCCCTGGCTGTGCCTTGGGTATTCCTTCAGAAGCACAGCTCATCCTGCTGCAAGCAGCAGGCAAACTCCTGGAGCAGAATCCAGCCCTGAACTGTCACTCTAGCTGGTGATTAAAATTAAGATTTTACAACTGGCAATCCCATGGTCAGTGCCCCAACTTGTCTGGAATGACTTTTCCTGCAATGGAAGACACGGCAGCAGAGGAGTGTTACACAAGACAAAAACAGGGATTCATTTACCTGGTAGGTGTTGTCAAAGCTGTCATACATGAACCTGGTGATCAAGGAAGTCTTCCCCACTAAAAGAAGAGAAAAAAACATGGATTCAAGGACCAATTTCAGAGCAAGGTTTAAGCAAGTGATTAAAAAATGCTTTACTGTGTCCAACAGATCCATCATGTGCACTTAAACTTCCTGCAAGGACAAGAGCAGTTACTTGACTTTACAATTGTAAAGTCACTTTTTTTTCCCTGTATCATTCCCAATCATCAGATTTACTCTTCAATATTTGTGACTTGAGATGAAAATGAATTTCATTCTTCTGTTTTCTGCCAAGTCATTTAGTAATTTTGTTAACAGCCCCCATAACTAATTATCAGCAACAAAAAGCTCTTCTCATTGATAAAGCATGGGATTTACTAATTTTCAGACCTCAGCATCCTCACAACACTTATTTTCTATTCCTCTAAGACAAACACGACAGCAGAGCTGAGGCAAAGCCTAACTCATAATTTATTGGCTTTTTCCTTCTCCTACATCTTCACCCGGAGGGATCAGATCCACAGGAAGTGGAACATCTCCAGCTGCCCCATTTTGATGTGTATAAATCCTCTTAATTGTTATTTAGGAAGCAACTGAAGGTTCTCAGGGCTGCACCACCTCCAAGTGTTTTTTCCAACCTCCTTGCAGCTGGAATTTGCCATCTGGCAGAGGAGAGGAACTGTGAGACTTGTGCTGGACACCAAACACTGCTTGTGCAGATAAAAGGAAAGAAGGAGTGCTCAGGGCAGAGATTGTGTTCTCCAAGCAATATTCCAAGGATTCCAGGTCTTTGCCAGGGTGACCATCCAGTGAACACAAGGATTTAAGGCAAGATTAAGGTCCCTTCCAACCAAAATCATTCTATGATTTCTGGGGTGAGTTTTGGGGGGGTTTTGTTTGTTTTAGATATTAACACAAGTGTCACCAAAATCCCAAGTATCCCAATTAAGCAGCATTTTCATCTTCAGTTAACTCTGAAAAGGGGCTAAACAAACAGGAACCCAGCAGACAGCCTTGGAGAGATGAGATTTTCCCAAGTCAAAATCTGAATTCCCATGTGAATTTCTAACACATTCTGCTCTGGAGGCAGAATCAGGTCTCCCAGCAAGTTACAAAGCTCCTTCACAAAGGCAGAGCAAATACCCCCTTCACTGAGTAGGTTTTCAGAAGCAGCACACCCCAGATGGGAATGACTGCTGAATCCCTCACTCAGATTTGTCCCATGGATGTGCAGAACAGGGGAGGAGGGATTCATTCCAGGCCCAATATCAATCCTCAGGAGACAGAGACAAACAAACCCAATCCCCTCCTGCTGCAGCACAGGCTCAATCCCAGGAATTGATCTGCAGCACCACAAACAAGCTGGTTTTCCTCACGTGGCCACTGATGCAGACAGCCACATTTAACTCCTCACGGGTCCAGTCTCACCCAGGAAATTATTTCCTTTGGTAACTCACGACCCCTGAAGGGCAATGAAGTGTTCCAGAAAATTCCTCCCTTCTGAGCGACACGTCTTGGATGGGATCTGTCCACAAATCATAAAATATGAACATATTCCGTTTATTCCCTACCCTACCTTCACTCGTTTCACCAAAAGAGGGGGGAAATAAGGTACTGCTTGCCTTGTTTATATTTAAATATCTGCTTCAACCAACATTTGGAGAGAGCATCCTAATGGAGTCAGTTCCAAGACATTTCTTCTCTGAACAGACCCAGGTTTATGTTGACAGGCAGCAGATCAAGATGGCATTAACACCAACTGCTCACAGTTTTAATTCCATGAATACTGAGGCATTGCCATTCCTCCTTTTAAACAACCCCAACCGACTCCTTTTAGGAATCCTGGCAGGAATGAAAGCCCACTGATCCCACTGTATCTCTAATTTCTGTTCTGCCTTGCTGGCCGTATGTTTCTCGAATCCCCAGAAGGCATTAATTTGGGAATGACTGCAAGCAAGGGAGAGGACAGATTCAGAACTCAAATTCATCTTGGAAAATGCTAAAATGACCTCAGGAGGCAAATGAAGCCCAGCAGGGAGAAGCAGAACAAGGTAATACGTGGAGACAAAAACAACCAGCTGCTTAAAATCCAGATGGGAAACAACTGGATAAGTAATCCCGGGGTCACAGCCCAAGGAAAAGATAAGACACTCAAGACTTCAGCTTTGTTTCATTAAGCTGGGGGTCACAGCCCAAGGAACAGATAAGACACTCAAGACTTCAGCTTTGTTTCATTAAGATGTCGGTTTGGTTTGGTTTTTTTTTTAATCTAGTGAGTTAATTTAATCTCTTGGAAAAATTTCCACACACAAGTAGGTCCAGGGCAGCATTAGTCAGCAATGCAATAAATATCCTTTAGGCCAAAATATTCCTGGTATGCTGCTGGAACAACTCCAAGGAAAAGGTCAGTATCACATCCTTGGAGGGACAGAGGTGGGGGAGGAAATGCTGGGAATGGGCTTTGCTTTGACTGGACACACTGGCAGCTACAGGAGGCAAGGGCAAATCTCCAACCATTCAGGAGCTGAGAAGGAACTTTTTGGCAAAAATCCAGGCAGCTTGCAGAGCTCACAGCAAGCAGCTGAGAGGTGAGGGGCAGCAGTGACTTAGTGCTCAGGGAAAGTTGTCTCCAGCCACTTCTCCCTCTGTATATTAAGATCTAACAGCTAAGAGCTGAGTCCAGCCCCAATCCAAGCAGGAAGGGCACAGAACTGGGAAAATGAGGCAATTAAATTTCAAAATAACTTATTCAGCTGGGCACTGGATTCTCCTCCCCTCCTTGGCACACACAGTTGTCAATGTCATTCCACTCTAGGAATTTGCATCCAAGGCATCTTTTGAAGAGGAGGGAAGCCAGGTAAACAAGTGATGAACCAAAGAAACCATTTGTTTCAACACCAAGCCTGACATTCTGGACATTTTTCTGTCATTAGGAGCCTGAACAATGGCTTCACCAGATGAGTTCTTGATTCCTTCTAGCTTTCCATCCAACAAAATCTCTGACTTGGACACTGCCAGGGATCCAGGGGCAGCCACAGCTGCTCTGGGCACCCTGGGCCAGGGCCTCAGCACAGTCACAGGGAACAATTCCATCCCAATATCCCATCCATCCCTGCCCTCAGGCAGTGGGAGCCATTCCCTGTGTCCTGTCCCTCCAGGCCTTGTCCCCAGTCCCTCTCCAGCTCTCCTGGAGCCTCTTCAGGCCCTGCCAGGGGCTCTGAGCTCTCCCTGGAGCCTTCTCTTCTCCAAGTGAACAACCAGCTCTCCCATCCTGGCTCCAGCCCTCAGAGCACCTTCTATCATCTAATTATCAATGTTCACTTCTGAAGGGATCCAGCCCCAACAGGAATTTTTAAGCCCAGATCTGGCTTGCTCAGATGGTTTTCTTCAGCTGGATCAGCTCTGGAACAATCTGTACCTGGTGGCTCCCTTCATGAACTGGCTGCTCACCTCATCCCCACGAATTCTGCAAGGCTGCAGTGTTCCCATATGTTCTGGGACAAGAAGAAGCTGGCTGTTCTGATAGATAAAATTGGGAAACTCCTCAAAGGAAAGGTTTGATCACTGCTTCAGCACAGAAAGCAGCAGATGCCCAAACACCAACACCCTCCTGAATCGTGGCAGCAAACAGCCAAGGGCCCAAAGATGATGGAGGGGAAGTTGTGAAGATCCTATCAGCAGAACCAGGAGGGGCTGAATTCCAAGCCTGCAGCTCATGGAGCCCCCCTGATGGATCCCCTTTGTCTGGGAGCCTGGCGGGGGTTTCACAGGAGCACTCAGCTGCAGGATGGAATCAATAGGCTGATCCCTGCTTCCAGCAGCTTTGATCCCACAGCACAGCAGCCCTGGAGACATTCCAAGGTCGCCCAGTCTGATTCTCACAGGCTGCCTTTTCCCTGCTCCCGGGGAGATCCGTGTGTCCTGCAGCAGCCCAGGAGTGACACTGATCCATGGGGGGCTCCCAGGGAAGGCTCTAAGGATGACTTCATCCTAGTGGTTGTTTAGAACTTTCAAAGCATCAGCAATCAGGAAAAAAAAAAAAAAAACCAACAAGAATTATCTTGAAAGGAAAATAACCTTAAAAGTAATCAACATGTCCAGACTGTTCAACTGGAAAACTGCCCTTGGCCTCTCCCAGCTCTCAGAAGCAGCCTGGGCTAAGAGATCCTAAAAGCCAGAGGTAAAGGGAGGAAGATGAGGAAAGCCTTCTCCTCACTGCAATCCCCAAATTTATTACTTCATCCTAGTGGTGGTTTAGAACTTTCAAAGCATCAGCAATAAGGAAAAAAAAAAAAAAAAAACAACAAGAATTATCTTGAAAGCAAAACAACCTTAAAAGTAATCAACATGTCCAGACTGTTCAACTGGAAAACTGCCCTTGGCCTCTCCCAGCTCTCAGAAGCAGCCTGGGCTAAGAGATCCTAAAAGCCAGAGGTAAAGGGAGGAAGATGAGGAAAGCCTTCTCCTCACTGCAATCCCCAAATTTCACTTCCCCTTTCCATGACTCCCTTCAGATCTGATGGAAGGACAAACCCCAGTGACACTATAACTTTCTTTCATACATAAGCTCACCTCAAAATCTTCACTGGAATTATTTTGCTGGAAAGAAAAACAAACAACCCAAGGCACCATAAGGAAAAGCATTGCTAAGAACAATATACTGAATTATGAATGCCTCAAAACCATTTTTAGACTTTGTTTAAAAAGAAGCCCCAAAAGGAAGATGCACAGAGCTGACTTTTACTGATCTGTATGAGCCAGTAAGAATATTTTTAGGTACGTCACTCCCAGCACTGGAAACAGAAATGCTGTATTAAAGTGATTAAAGCAGCTTCTTTTAAAAAAAATAAATAAAAACACCCCCCATCCTCCTCTGCTCTTCACTGTCAAACTATGGAGATTTCACCTGGTTCCCTCAAAGCAAGAAACCAAACTCATTCATTATCCAAAGGCACTGGCAGGGCCAGCAGACTGCATTCATCCAAGGCATTCTCAGCCAGGTGAAATTTGTCACAGTGAGGAACCTGGAGGATGGAAT